TTCAAATCCCAGGACCATTAGGGTTCGGCGTTGCGTAGTTTTTTGCTGCAAACGCGGGGGCAGATGAGGAACATTGCATGACCGTGCTTGCAACGTGCTCATCAATTCATTGAAATATGCTTGCACGCTTACAGATTGAGCCTGTATGTGTGTATATGTGTTTACTGTATTTTTGCGTACTTCTGTTTGTATGTGAGAGCGAGTGCATAGGCGCGTGTGCAGGTGGGGGCATGTACAGTCGTAGGAGGGGTATTTTTAGAGTGAGGAGGATCCAGTGGCAGAGCTAGAACAGGGAATTGGGGTGGGGGGGGCACATACACATCCCTTTATGGCAGCAATTAGTCCTGGTAAGTTCGAAATCATTTTCCTTTAATGACGCGTTTTCCAATTAATTGGCAACTGGAGACACGGTTTCTCTCCATATGCGATATAACAGCAATGAAATCATGGGCTAAATTCAGTACAGTGGCAAAGCCAGAACTGAATTGGGGTGCACAAAACATTGCTTTAAAACAGTTATTAGTCCTGACCTGTTCTCAGTCATTTTCATAATTAACAAAAGGTTCACTCCGAGAGCACTCCAGACTTAACAGGTGCTGCTTGTTCTCCTCGATTAGGTAAGAGGACAATCATTCATCTGGACGCACATTTGCTGTATCAACGTTATTCAAAATACCTGTGGACTCTTACGCAAATAGCTTGAGCCGCACGCTTTTTATAGCCTATTTAACTGCTGAGTGCCACTTTTTTTTTTATCAACCCACGCAATACCAAGAGTGAAAGGCGATATTTCATTGGAATGCGGACCAGTTCAATCAACGCAAAGCATTGGCCTGTTAAGTAAATTATTTTTCTGTACTGAATTTAGCCCATGATTTCATCGCTGTTAGATCGCATATGGAGAGAAACCGTGTCTTTAGTTGCCAATTAATTGGAAAACGCGTCAATAAAGGAAAATGATTGCAAACTAGCCAGGACTAATTGTTGTCATAAAGGGACGTGTCTGTGCCCCCCCAATTCCCTGTTCTATCTGCGCCACTGGGAGGATCGGACAGAAAAAACAGAGCCATTTATGACATCCACAAAATGATTTGTGCGCTGTCCTAACCCCATAAAACCTACAGACTCATATATGGGTCCGTCAAATGCAGCTCCTGTATTCAAACCTGGGGAACTTTTGGCCTATTTTAATTTCTGGTGTTGATCCCAAGATTTCCAATGATCCCAAATTTGTCCTGCTGAATTATAAGAAAATGAGTATAAAATGATATCCAAGAGCTGGATATTTTCCATTTGATGCTGTAGCCATAAAAACATGGTGTCCCAGGTTTGAATATTTCTCTCAATATAAGTGTGATGAAGCTTCAGAGAAGCGCTGCAACCAGCAGATACAGAATATCAATGTGGCATTGTCCTACAACATGAAAAATAATGCTTCTTCTGACTTTGAGCTTACTAAGGGAAAACTTAAGGAAAATGATTAAGGGTTTAAGGTAATGGAGGGTTAGAGACTATGTCCGGTTCTACCATTTCAATCATTTTGCCAGTATAGAGAAAAGACTCAATCGCAGTTTCCTTTTGAACAAGATTGTTATGGCACAAAACCACAGAATGCTGTACAGTCATCACCAGAAATGTGAGCTGCCTTATTTTTTATTTTTCATTTCTTTGATTATTTTGTGTTTTGTCCACCAGTAGAATTAAAGGCAGGAACTGCAGTTGCCGCAGGATTAGTGAGTGAGATGGACAACTTCACTGAGCCGTACACAGAATCCACCCAAATCTGAAGCACTAACTGAAGTAAAAAAGAGCTGTTTTGGCATTTACTCAGCACACATATTCAGCTTAATCAGTGAGCCAACCTAGTCCAATATCCTATTGCTGTGTCTGGACCTCATAATGTCAATACTTCCAATTCCTACCTTCCCTGTGCCCTATTGGAGTGGATAGGAACATCTGGGGAGAGCATAGAGTATCCTTGCGTGAAAACTCCTTGAAACTGCTTTTTTTTTGTTGCTTTGGGGTGAATAATTTGAGGGGATAGAAGCCATAGAAGAACGTGATTAATTTGTACCCTTGTGTCCCCTCGTACCTCGTCCTTGACACACTTATTCAAGGGGAACAGTGTGACCCCGTCAGCTGGTGGTGCCCAGATGTAGAAAAGAGATTTCTAGCGCCCCGAGTCCCTGCTGCATCTATCTTTGGGCTGGCAGTTAACCCCTGGACACATAGACAAGCACACACAATCTCTCACACACACGCACACGCGCACACACACACACACACACACACACACACACCTCTTCCAAACAATGGATGATGTCCAGGAGAGAATGCTATGGCCCGGGGCTAGACAGAGTAAGAGAGAGGGTAAGAGAGTTAGAAAGAGAGAGAGACAGAGCGAGAGAGAGAGAGAGAGAGAGAGAGAGAGCATTCGTACAGTCGATACCCATACGCTCTTTCATGTACAAACATACACAAAGACGCATGCTTAAAATCAACACACACAACATTGGCTATTATTGTCGTTATTTTTTAATTATTGTTTAAATGTGTGGACATGTGTATATGTACAATTATGAAATAAAATCACACTGTTCCATGATCTTTCTTTGTTAATAGATGTTTCACATGTCCCTTCCTGTGACTGGTAACACCAGTTAAAAATCCGTCGTGTCAACAAAGCATTTTGCATCTGGTCCTGAGAGTTAGACGTGAACACACCTCTGTATCCACTCCAGTCTCCCACAGGAAGACCGAGCTGCTGCAGTAATAAAATTCACCAATGATCTGTGTCCTACTGCGGTTTCATCTTTCCCGTCTGCTGTGAGGTGCTCCCAGCTCTCATTCAAGGTTGCAATCCTGGGCAGTGTGTTGCTAGAGATGATACTAGCATGCTGTACAAGCCGTATGTAGCAGCAGGAAGTGCTCCTTTCTCTAAGTGTAGAGTACGGAGCACCGATAGTGTCAATCATCAGCTAAAGCAGGGCTGTCCAGTCTTGTTCTTGGAAATTTACCAGCCTGTAAGGTTTCATTACAAATCTAACCAAGCACACCTCATTCTACAGCAGGGCTGCCCAACCCGTTCATGGAGATCTCCCTGCCTAGATGGTTTTCCTGCAATCCAATTTTACCTCATCTGACTCTGTTCATTATCTCAGCGCAGAGCTCTGTTGAATGATATGTGCTTTTGCATGGTTGAAATAAAAACCGACAGGATGGAGAACAATTGGGCGGTCCTGCTCTCGCTGTTGAGTGTAGTATGCTGAAACTCACAGGACTGTAGATTTCCAGGAACAATGTTTGGAAGCACTGACCTTGGTGTTGAGTGACATGCACCTTGTTAGGGTCAGAGTGAAAGACTGCAGGGTAGCAGATCTTCAGGAACAGAGTTTGTTGCCACCGGTGTATGCCATTGGTGAAGGGCAGGAATACAGTAGCTCCACAACAGACAGAGTTACTCTAGAATGGCACAGTGATATTTTACTACACTACAGAAGATCTGGTTATTATTTCAGAGTCAGGCAACATACAGGCAGGACATTTTGAGCTTCCATACTTCTCGTTCTGCGTATTATTGTGTTCAAGCTTACTTTCTCTGGTACCCACAGGGTAAATGAGGGTGTGTACTTGTGTGCGCGCGGTTGTGTGTGTGTGTGTATTTGTGTGTGCATGCCATATGTGTGTTAGAGGGTGTACGTATTAGAGGAGTGAGTGTGTCCTTGTCAGTATTTAAGTTTGTGGACCTGCATATCAGTGTATGTCCATCTTTACATATCTCCTTCTCCCTCTCTTTTCTTCTTCTTGTGTGTGTGTGTGTGTGTGTGTGTGTGTGTGTGTGTGCAAGCGTGAGTGACCCCCTCTCTGGGTCATGAAGAATATGGGTCAGCACAGCATTAATATGCTAGAGGAGAAGAGGGGCACCATTAGAATCTAAGATCATGATCGACATCTCATCCTTCACAGCCTGACTCAGCCAGATTAATACTGACTCTGGATAGAGGGCTTGTCAAAGAGTCCCACAGTATTTTTTTTCCACAATAAGTTGTGCTACGTCAGTCACTTATCTCCACACAATCAATGCCTCTTTCAATCGCTATAATAATGTGGCATTTCACTGACAGCAATTTCAGGGCCTTTAAAAGGCTTTGTTTATTGAAGCATTTGTTCAGCTGTCTCCATGAAACCATAGCCAGACCAGAGGCTGTGAAGAAGTTGACAGCAAGTGGTATTCTTTAGTCCCAAACTATTTTGCACCCATCAAAGTTATTGTGATTTTAGCTGTCTACGACATCATGATGGAGAATATGGGGACAAAGTGAATAATGTCCGCTTTAATTAGAGGATATTCATCTACAAATCAGGTAAACGGTGTAGTAATTACAGAACCATTTTTAAAGATGAAGAGAGCTTTCCACTAAATATAAATTCAATCATGTGTACAGCCTAATTACTCAATTAAAGTGTGACCAGTTTAATCCTGAAACAAAAGTTTATCGCTTTTGTTGTTTTTGGGCCATAGCTCTTTCCTAAGCAACTGAGATGTTGATGATGTCATACTGAGAACAACAAAGCCAGAGATGGTTGCTAGTTAACACAGCAGAGGCATTTTAACCCTTTAAGGCCTAATGGAAAAATCCCAGCAGAGAATCATGCTGCCATGTTTACCATAGTAACCTGTATTTGGGCTGAAGCACAGCTTCTCAGCTTTCAGGAACAGTTGGAATTTTTTTTTCTATTGCGCAAAACTTACAGTAATTACGGTACTTTCAAAATTACGCGCATATCTGTGTCAGCAACGACACGTTCTTAAAATGCGCACATGCTGTCCCGGTTTAAATGGGTTAAACTGTTACCAAAGCACAACATAGCCTACTCATGCAGCATATCCACTTAACGAGAAGACACTTGGCTAAAAGTTCTTGATGTCATCAAATTACCATTCAAGCACTAAGCAACTAAATGAGCATGCAGCAAAATGTGGAATAAAATATTATCAGAACAGAGTGGTTCAGTGGTTAGCACTGCTGCCTAACAGCAAGACGGTCGTGGGTTCGATTCCGGCCTGTGGCCTTTCTGTCTGGAGTTTGCATGTTCTCTCCGTGTTCGCATGGGTTTCCTCCCGCAGTTCAAAGACATGCACATCAGGCTAATTGGAGATGCTAAATTGCCCGTAGGTATGAGTGTGAAAGTGAATGGTGTGTGAATGGTGCGTGCGCCCTGTGATAGAGTGGCGAGCTGTCCAGGGTGGGTCCCTGCCATTCGCCCAGAGTCAGCTGGGATAGGCTCCAGCTCCCCCGTGACCCTTGTGAGGAAGAAGTGGGTATAGAGGATTGATGGATAGATGGAGTGCAATTACATACACTAACCCAGCGATTCTGCTAAATTTGTGCAATGGAGACAAATGATAGATCCCATGTTCACAGTGCTGATGGGTAATCACCAAACCATACTTAAAAAGCAACCCATACCTTTTCATTAAGACAAAAAAGCAGAATCCTAAACAACCGCCATGTCAATCCCCAGACCTAAATCCACCTGAGCATGGATTTCGCTTACGAAAGGAGAAACTGAAGGCAAAACTCACTAAGACCGAGCGGGATCTGCAGTGAAGGCCTAGCATAGCATCAGCAGGGAAGAAATCCAGTATCTGCCAATGTCTATGGGTTCCAGATTTCAGCCAGTCACTGACTGCAGTGATTTGCAACTAAGAATTAGAGATGGCGATTTACAATTTGCATGATTATTTTAGTTTATGCAATCGCTTTTGAGCCCCTAAAACTGATGTATATAGAGGGTCGTAATTCATTCAGGGTTCAGAGAATATTTTCAATATAACCCTTAAATTATGGCTGCAATTCTACACCAGAAGCACATCTTGTGATATTGCAAATACACTGTGGTGGAGAAGGGAACCAAAATGTTGATAATTGTCTTACTGTCCAGCTACTTCTGGACTTCTAGCTATAGAGTTTTAATCACACACTGGGTAAAGTACAATTTTCAGGCCTTTATTTATATTATTTTCTGAATAAATACTAGCTACTTGTTATGAAGTGACCGCTGAAGTAAATGCACTAAAACAACATTAAGTACCATAAAGGAATATGTTTTATAGCTCATTTCAGAGTATTTTCCTTAAAAATCAAAATAGCAACGTAACTGGAAGCTGCTATTACACAAATAAACACCATGAGTAAGATGAAACACCACCAGGAAATGCGCTTCCCACTAATAACTCATGTATAAAATATTTCACCTTGCCAATGTTTCGCTAATGTGGGCCTCATTTCTTTGCCAGGGTTCAGTTTAGCATTTTCGTAGCCCGAGGGTTACGAGCCACAGAGATTGGTGGGACCTTAGGGTCAGGGTTCACAGGTTAAGGTTCAGGTCTGGCTTGAATCAACAGTCACTGACTTAGTCATGCATGGTGGTCTTTGGCCTACAACTCAGAGACACAGACCAAAGGACAGGAAATCTGACTACATTTGCCTATCTGCTTGGTCTTGTTCTGTGCAGTTAAAATCATAAAAATGTATGATTTACCTACAAAAAAAAAAAAAAAAAAAAACAAGAGCTTCAAGGGTCAGGTGCATACAATGTTAGTTACGATCTTTCCACACAATCAGAGTAATTTTATGATGTATTATTGTATAATGTTATTGTATTAATACAAATTAAAGCTAACGGTCTCTAATAACAGAATGTACAAAGCCTAACAGACTTCACTGTACATGCAGTGCGCAGAATTCCAGTCACTTTCCATGTGATGCAGGCTTCATGAGCTTTCGTGAAATAAACATAAAATCAAATTAGAAATACTCCTCGTAACCTGCTACCATACAAAAGCGTGTAATTATGAGAAAGTTTTATGTTTTTGAAAGAAATTAACGCTTTATACTCAGACCCATAGTGGTCAGGCATACGAAACAATCATAAATCTTTGTTATTTAGAACTTAAATCAAGCCATCACATTAGTACTGTAAAATGACCATTAAAGCTTGAAATTATTATTATTTTTTTACTCAGTGTTTACATATGAAGGCAAAGCAGCATTTTCAGCAAGCATCACTCCAATGTACAATCGATACAATGCATCACCGCGTCTTTACATAAGCCTGCTAATGCACAATATATCAGCACAGGTGAATCGAGACCCCTGAATGTTACTGCACAAATATATCAACAGCCATTTTATTATTGGTTTGCGATGATAGTGATACTTCTCTGGGATTTCGGTATCAAACTGAAATCCAACTGCCGCTGTCTGTTAAAAAACAGTACTGCCAGGGGACAGAATGAGCCTGGATGTCCTTCACTTCCTCCTCCTCCTTCCTGTTTCTGGAGAGGTCAGTGGCAGGAGATTAGGCGACCGGTGTGCTGTATTTGCGGTGTTATCTCTGGAGGGATGTGTTTCTCAGAGGGCCTGACGCACCACAGGTGACCTGGAAATGGCTGCCGGGTGCCCGGTGTTTGTCTTGATTGATGGCACGGCCCCGGTGCTCCCTCACGACCGAAACGGGCTCTTCTGCTGAAGAACGAGAAAAAGGACCCAGCAGAGTTCTCTCTCTTCTCTTTTCCCTTGCATTCCCCGTTACGCACACCCTCAATTCTCTGCTCACAAACCCATTGATTTGACAATAAATCGTACATGCAAGTAAATGCGTGCAATGCTGATGAGCTTTTGCTGATTATCTAGGATTCGCTAAAGCTCTCTGGCTCTCCAGAACACTAATTTCGCTGGTTTCAAAGTTAATTTAACTGTTCATATAGCTGCATTGGGCAACCTGAGAGAAGTTTCAAGACTAAAGATTTGAGTTGCAGGGCAGGGTATTTGCAGTCAAGATTTAAGCATGTGCCCTTTCAGCTGCGTTATATAAAATCCCGGAGAACGCCTGTGCCGACGGTTTTACTGTCTACCTTTCACCTTTCTGTCCTGAAGAATGTGAGGTTTCTCATTTTGTGGAGAAAGGTAAGAAAAAATGGCACAGTCTTTTCCACTTATTTGATATTAAATATATAACACCGTAGATGTGCCTATACTTGAATAGAACTTGGGATAATTTCCAGCTGGTTATTCCCTCATGGGGTCCTAGTTTATTATCCCCTGCCACGAAGTGCAACGGGGGATACTGGATTGGGGACCGTCCATACGTCCCTCTGTCCATCCAGGCCACAATGGGGACAAGATTTCTCTGAAACTATTACACCTAGATGCAAGATATTTTGTATGCTTAATAAGCTACTCATGATCTACATTGAGTTTGGAAATGGATGTCGAAGTATATTTTTTTTACTGAGTTATGGCCCTTGATTGTGGCGGGGCATAGCGATGACACTGTCGTCTTGCCGTCAGTTGTCAGCAAACTTTTCAAGCCGAATTTGAAATTTAGTCAAGTAATTGTGTCCTCCCGTCTCCTCTCTCACAAGCGGACTCACATAATGACTTCCTGTGGAAAGGATGGGAACAATTCATGAATGGCTCTCTTAAATCCTGTATATTACTTTTTTAAAGCAATTCATATCTCACAGAGTTTCTGTGTTTCGTGAAAAGCAAAAATCCTAATGATTATAGCTTTAGATAATCACTCCCTGTTCTTGTTCCTTAATCTTATCTTTATAACCTCTGTCTGAAGAATGCTACACAGCTTCAGCTGCAACAGAACACGCCTTTGTTTTCTGTTAGCTTTGCTAACTCTTCTTATCTAATCTGGGAGTGCCCTCTGACCTTTGGGGCACCACCGTGGGCTGACACTAACCAGGTGGAAAAAGCTTGTTAGTAAAAAAAGAAAAAATGAGGGGGGGAGAAGGGGGGAAGTGTGCAATTGTTAGTGAAGGTAAGTCTGAGAGAATGTGATTTAACACCCTCCTACATACCATCTCAATGATAAACAGAACATTAATATAATTTCAATGAATTATGGCATTTTGGCAGTTCCGACCTGCTTACTTCCATTAACAAGAGCGCTTCTGAGTGGTGCAGACTCTTATTTTGAATGGTCAATTTCTCCTCTCTGGCTGTAGGTCCCATAGATCAAAATGTTCAGTACTAAATCAATTTTTAGTGTTTACATGGGCCAACTATGGCAAGAGTGGACTCATATAAACCCTTTGAGTTCAATTTATTTTATGTCATATTTTACTGAGTGTACATTGCTCAAGCATGTCATATTTTTTGTTTCCTTGACAAATGAATACATTTGTGGACTCATATATTTACCTAGACAGGTTGTAAAGTCATTGAGTGCTACGCTTTGTGACAACATTTCCTGCCCACAAAAATACGGTAAACAGCATTCAGAGGTATTCATGAAAGATCCCTCAATAAATGAATATATAAACATTTAAATTTCATTGTATTTTACGCAAGAAGATGTATGGCATAATACTGTAAATTTGCATTTTTGTTTTTTTTTTTCAGAACAAAGAGATAATAAAATCAGTTACCATCTCAACTCATACATTTTTCATGATTATCATTATAAAAACTGATGGCGTATGTATACCAATAACTCTTTAATGTAAGCTAATATAGAGACTATTAATGACTTATTTGCTTTTACAAACAAGATGTTTTCTTTCCCTCAATACAAATTAATTCAGTACACAGGAAAAAAGTGTGTTTGTGTTCAGTTCCCATTTGAGATACTGAAATTTAATAATTATCTGAGGAGTTAAGGCAGAAAAACCACTTTGTGACTATTCTAGTCCCTCCAGAAAGCCAATTAAAAATGTTTAGCCTGTACGTTAAATATTTTAGCACCGTTAATAAGAGCCATAATGTTTGGGCACCAGGAACAGATTTGTTGCCTGAAGCAAAAATAATCTCTCCCTGTGAATATATTACCTCAGATCCTAGACTCCCCTGCCCCGACTAATACCACTGGGGTTTGGACTCAGTGGTTTACACTCATCTCCCCTGTCAAACAAATGTGATGTGCATACACACAGTTTTGATGTAACTTGCGTGGGCGACTCTTTTGATATCTTGGCGTGGTTGATGAATTGTATGCGACGATAATTCTGTGTTTGATAGCATGCCTGTAACCATGTCAAAAATACTCAGTTGTGG